ATGAGGAACCATTGTCAGCTGAAAATTTTTCCACTGATGACATACAAATGATTAAACAAAAACAACCATCCAGAAAGGCTGAGAAACTAACAAAAGCAGATCAAAACACACAGGAAAGACAAGAACATGGTGAACCATTGTCAGCTGAAAGTTCTACCACTATTAAACAAATAGAACCACCCATAAAGGCTGCAGATCTAATAAAAGGAGGTAGAAACACGCAGGAAAAACAAGAACATGAGCAACCCTTGTCGACTGAAAGTTCTTCCACTGATGGCGTACAAATAATTAAACAAAAAGAAATATCCAGAATGGCTGAGAACCTAACAAAAGCAGATCAAAACACACAGGAAGGACAAGAACATGAGCAATCCTTGTCGCCTGAAAATTCTGACACTGATGATATTCAACTTATTAAACAAAAAGAACCATCGGGAAAATTTGAAGCTGTCACAAAAACAAGTCAAAACACACATGAAAGACAAGAACATGTACAATCCTCGTCGACTGAAAGCTCTGTCATTGATGATATACAAACAATTAAAGAAAAAGATCCATCGAGAAAAATTGAGGGTGTCAGAAAAATAAATAAAAACATACAGGAAAGTCAAGAATGTGACCAACCCTTGTCGACTGAAAGCCCTATCATTGATGATATACAAGTAATTGAACAAAAAGAACCACACAGAAAGGTGAAATCTGAAACAAGAGATCAACCAATAAACATTTTGTCTGATCTTAGCATAAATCTTTCAGTGCAGACTCCAACTGAATTCAACACCAATGAACAGCCTACTGCAGATAATCCTTTGATAAAAGACCCTTTCAAAGAAGACTTAACAGATATAAAAGAAACTTTTACTTCCAAAAATGTGGATTCTGTGTCTGACAGCAACTTATCGGTTCCATATGAATACACGAATACTGTATCTACCCCTAGAGCTTCTAAAATTTCACAGGAAGAAACAGCATTATCTTCCAAAAACAAGACAAAAGTTTCGTTAAAGCCAATTTCTTATTCAACTCCAGTAACACCTCAAATGTTACACAAGGTTTATGACACTGACTTAAATTGCGTGGGAAGTAAACAAGAAGTGTTAAGAAATATTTGTACTGCATCTAATGAGCAAATAAATAATTTAAACACCAAAGAATTCTCGATAGGTAGGAGACAGACTAGCTCTAGCAGTGAGTCAGATATGAATATAGAGACGGAAAACAACAGGGCTGATCTTAGGAGACTGTCACCAGAAGGTGCTTCTGAAAAACAGTATTATGGAAACAGCAATGTTCGGATAAACAGCGGAAGTGACAAAAATGAATCTAACGTGCCCCCGCAGATAACGCGTAGCTACCGAAAGTTTACCTTTAATAGCGACGGGTCCTGCGTTACAGAGACAGGCAAAATATATGCAACCCCAGCTGGAGGGGGAACGTGGACTAAAGTAGAAAGAAAAACCAAAATCACAAATAAACCAGATCAAAACGATGATGATTTTGAAAAAGTACAGCACATTCAATACAAAGATGTTACAAGCGATGTGCACAGATCGGACAGCCGTAGTTCCTCGGGTTCTAACGACATTTTGGATGGACCTTTCTTCAGAAATGCATATGAAACATCTTGGAACAGAAAGGAAGATAATTTTGCACATATAAATAAAAATCGCAAACAGAGGGCAAAGGAATGGCTTCAGGGAGAAACTTTAGGTGGTCAGTCCACGGATAAAGAATCATCTGACAATGAGGACTATTTTGATATTCATTTTGAGGATACCGACACTGTTACATGTGAATCACAAGGTCTTTGGCGGTTTCTACAAACAGTGAACCAGGATTTGATAGCTAGATTGCAGTCCTTTAGAAACCGTACTCTGGCTTCTTCCTCTCGGCCCATTAGACAACACTCTTTAAGGATGCCTTCAAATCAACAAAACAAAGGTAAACTCTTATCAGTAACACGTTCTGTTAGTCAGGAAAGACCCGAAAAAGTTACTTCTAGGAATAAAGATCAGCCAGACGATCTTTGTCATATGGGTAATAATACTGGATTAGAATCTTATTTGACATGTCCTCGTTTACAGACCCACTATCATGTAGATTCGACAAGAACAGAAAGACTTCATAGAGATCATCCAGCTAAACACGGTATGCATAGAAAAGATGGTGGTGGTAAAAGCTCGATCAACAACAATTCCAAGTCTTATTCAATGCATTCTAGTGATATAAATAAAATTCCAGAAGATGATAATGGTAAAAGAGAATCCACTTATGGATTTGTTAGACCCAAAGCATCTCAGATAGCACGAAATAATTCAGTTATGGATACTTTGCAGTGTGAAGGAGCAACCAGCATAATTAATGATAGTAATGTTCAGACTTCAGTACAGACACACAATTCTCAGGTAGCTTATCCACGAGAATTATCGGAAAATAGACGCCAGAATGTGGAAGAATGGCTTCTTAAATCTGAGTTAGGACAAGAAGGTGCCAATATTTCCGACTCAAGTAGACGAGATAAATGTAAAATATCTTTCAGCAAAGACAGATGCCAGTCTGACCCTGCCTTTTTACAAACTGGTCAACACAAAACAGAATATAATTACCATGGAAATCAAATGGGAATGGATTCGACACGCAAACCTTCCATGTTAGATGCAACAGAAGATCAGCTGCCTTTGAAGACACCTGCAGACAAAGGGATATTGGCTAACGACCAATCTAGTTCATTTAGTCATAGTTATAAAAATTACGAGCAATTCTTAAACTCTAAATCGTCAATTTTGGAAAGCACTTCAGAGCCTCATCATGGGCCTTCTCCTAGTTCCGAAAAAAATACCACCCAGGAAAAGATGCAACATATTCCATGTCCACAGTCACTCTTTGTCAACGTTAACAAAGATGATGACTTATCATACAATGAAGGGTGCCATAAGAAAAGAATGTTCCCAGTTAGCAGTCAAGGAAGGCCAGTGTTCCGCATTAACCTTCCATTTAGTAAAAGTAATTTAAATATGCAGAGTGTTACGTCAGAATTCCATAGGCAGCCAGAGCCACTTAACAAACGATGGAGTGAAGAATCAGTGGCTACTTCTACTCCTCCAAAAAGTTCTTTGCTCGATGCACTGATGAATCGTGGATATCGCCATGTCATGTCACAAAGACTGTGTTCTATGGGGCCCACAAGTTCTTTAGCAATTAATGAAGAGAATCTTGTCGATTCCAATAAAACCACAAAAGAAACACTCGGTGCTGAACTAGATAAAGAAAGCCAGTTTCAAAGCAATGAACCAATGCAAGACCACTGTCCTGGAAAAGAAAATAATGACAGTGAAAAGGAGATTAAATATGAAGAAAAGTGTGGCGAAGGAGAGATGAAACAAAACAGTTTCAGCAGCATTCAAAAAGATAAGAATGAATCATCTGATACTAACAATATTCCTCACACTGATAACGATAAAGACCAGAGAATGAGTGAAAATTACGTTGATGAATGTAGGAGAAAACCTAAATCTAGTATACCAGTAAAAACGAAGGTAAAAGGGAAGGCAGATATGTCAGAAGACTCATCTACACTAGAGAATGTGGATAAAGCTCTTACAAATGAGGACTACCAAGTGCAACAAAAAGGAAAAGAGGGCAACCAGTTTCCAAGAGAAGAAGAGTCTGTAAGCGAACGAATACTACGAAAGAGCTTTTACTCCAGGTTTAATGATGATCGTCAAAGCAGGAGGCGTCGATCTAGCTACCGAGATAATGAAATTCTACAAGACTTGAAAAATGCGGGTCTCTCAGGAAGTATGTGCAGTCTGTCCTACACTGACGAGACTTCTGATACAGATAGTATTTGGGTTCCATCTTCTAGAAGAGGATCCTTAAGAAATATCCCGATGGAAGATAACTTTAGTCGAGAACATAGCAGAGAAAGAGCAAGAAGATTGTCTACTAGACTGGAAGATTACGCTGATTTGCCAGATACGCAAAACCCATCCAGAAGGACCCAGAAGAAAGATTATTTATCTCAGCATCAATGGGCGATGACGTTGCAGTTATCTGATAATATTGATAGTGACGTATTTAACGACGAAAAAAAGGACTCGATATCATATTCAGCGTCAAGAAAATCTGAAAATGTGAGAAAGAACAAGTCAGATCGTGGTCGCTTTTCCCTTTATGAACCAAGCGTATCGTGTGCCCCGGGAAGTGGAAACGTTAGTTTTTTTGAGAGGCAGAGGGCGTTATTGGGGAACAGGCCATCCTCGTCTCGCGGCTCTTACCTCCACAGTACTATGAGCTCTAGTTATCAAAACCTTTTGCATGATGCAAATTATCTTGACTACGATGAAATTCCCAGAAGAAGACCTTCGTTAGCAAATTCTACGTTTTCATTGGTAGAAGAAATGGAGGATTTTGAAGACTAACTAAACAACTAAAGCGATACCGTTGCTAAGTGAACTTGAAAAGCCTCAGCAATTGAACATGGGTGTCACTAACTGTAAGGACCAAGAAATAAGAGGGCTGGACCGCTTTTTCTTGTTATCTGTGATGGTTAATGTGCCCCGAGGCCTTGTGATGATCTTCATAAAAATCTCATATTGACCACTTCGTGACGCCGTTTTTCATGTGTGTGCGTGTGTTCCGGAGTCAAAGAGTTGCTCCTGCACCGCAACTGAACTCTGTGTATAGTTTAGAAGAATGAATGGGGCGCCGTATTTGTTTTACCCAATATTTTCAAACCCAGAAAACAAGAAACTGTCTGTTTAAACTTATACGTTTTTTTTTTGTTGTTGTTGTTAAATTAAGCTTCTTGAAAATTATCCAAGAAAATTTGAGTAGGTGAATTTTTTTGCATGAAAAATCGTTGGATAGTGGAATTTTCTGATATATACAAGTTTCCAAGCCAGATGTATTTTATGAGGTTTTGTTGTTTATTAACGAATTATTTGATTGTCCTTTTTAGATATATATTTAAAAACTTTTGAATGTGATGAAAACCTGTGTACGTTGTGAAATGATAAAATGTTTTCGCAAGTATTTTTACTGACTTTTCTTGATAAAGTTGTTGCACACATTAATAACCATTAATGGAATTCAAATTCTGCACAAATCTTCAACATCTTTTTGTATTTATGGCAAATTAAACTAGCTAAGAAAATTATCTGCCGCTATCTCTACTTTTGAACTACTAATCAGAAGGCAGGCAGCACCCTACCACTCACGCTTAGAGATTGACTGTCACTCTTGTGACGCACTCAAAGCTTAAAGTGTGAATCGTATTTTATAGTATCGCATGGCTTCGAACCGGGCTCGCCAGCACTAATATAGGACCAACCGGTGCACCAATTTCTTTATTCTCTGACTTAGATAATAAAGTTTAGACAAATAGCAGCGACACACATTATAAATATTATGCACAAGAGATTGGTGGACACATTTTACTGTTAAAATTACTTCATTAGTATATATATCTAATCAAAAACACCTTAGGTGTGGAAAAAAAGTTGCGGCCAAAACAGGATTCAGCGTGCAACTTAAAGGGATTGAAATCAAAATTGGCGGCCAAACTGGTAGCTACGCTTATGGCATTGATAAGAATTTTACAGCAAATATCCATTCATTAGTTAGCTATCCGCGTATTTTGTTCAACTCTGGACATTATGGTTTGTTTGTAGTTATGCACAAAGCTACACAATGCTCTGCCCACCATAGGTATCGAAACCTGGTTTCTAGCATTGTAAGTCTGCAGACATACCGCTGTGCCACTGGGGGCAGGGCACTATGGTGGGTAAAACAAAATACGCGGCCTAGCTAAATAATGAATGAATATTTGCTGTAAAATTCTTATCAATGCTATAAGTATAGCTACAAGTTTCGCAGCCAATTTTGATATAATTCCTTTAAGCCACACGCTCAGTCCTTTTTTTGGTGGTATCTTTTTTTCACACCTAAGGTGTTTTTGATTAGATATAATATTAGCAAGTAGAAGAAAACTCGTTTGTCCTCAGGTTGTTTTGGTTCAGGTGAATTCTTATTATCTACAAAACCAGTGCTAATGATGTGATTAAATGCATAGCAATAACTACTTCAATTAACTATATATGGTTTCGACCTCCTTAAGTTATTAACAGCTAAATATGTGACTGGAAACCATTGCACAAAATATAAAAAAATATATAGGAGAAAATTTTGATTTATAGGAATAAATCAATCTTTAAATCAACCTGCACCTTATCGTTCTACGATTTATAGGAATAAAGCAATCTTTAAATCAGCCTGCACCTTATCGTTCTACGATTTATAGGAATAAAGCAATCTTTAAATCAGCCTGCACCTTATCGTTCTACGATTTATAGGAATAAAGCAATCTTTAAATCAGCCTGCACCTTATCGTTCTACGATTTATAGGAATAAAGCAATCTTTAAATCAGCCTGCACCTTATCGTTCTACGATTTATAGGAATAAAGCAATCTTTAAATCAGCCTGCACCTTATCGTTCTACGTTTTAAAGCAAATTTTAGTTGCTATATTTACGGCATGGCCAGGTGGTTACGGCACTGAACTCGCAAACTGAGGGTCGCGAGTTCGAATCCCTGTCCCACCAAACATGCTCGCTCTTTCAGCCGTGGGGGCGTTGTAATGTGACGGTCAATCCCACTACTCGTTGGTAAAAGAGTAGCCCAAGAATTGGCGGTGGATGGTGATGACTAGCTGACTTCCCTCTAATCTTTCACTGTTAAATTATGGACAGCTAGCGCAAATAGCCCTCGAAATTCAAACCAAACACGGTTTCATCCTGCAGTGTAGACAGGTTTCTGGTATACTATATCTAATAACATCTCGCTTCTTTAATGAAAAACGAGAATATTTAACTTCCTGCAGAAGGATCCGGAATACAAAGCAAGTTTTGTTTCCTTAGAAAAAAACAAACACACCAAAAACAAATTTCTGTGTAAGTATCAAGTTGCGTTCTTTCGTATTGTACAAAATTCTACTCGTGCAGAAAAAAAGCCCATCGAGATGGAAATCGAGCGGGGAAAAATATCACACTGTGACAGTTTGTACACCTTATGGGCTTTTGCACCGTAAATATTGTATTAATATATATTTCAATTAATTTACAGAAAGAATGCGAGGGTCTTAGATATCCTTCTGAACACCCACTTCTTTTTTTTTCCAATAGGCTTTCAACTAATCCTAGAGATAAAGTTGTCTTGTTTAGTAGACTGCACATATCTCTTCTTCTCACTACAAATAACAGATCTATTGATAAAATGCATCCGTGTAAGTAAGCACTTCGATATGGTATTCTGACGTTCTTCTGTAGTTCAGATTTACATATATTTATAAAAGTTATACAACACAATTATATGCCAGTTTCATCATATAAAAGAAAAGTGTGTTCAAAAAAGCATTTCCTTACCTTTATAGACCACGTGGTTAGCGTGTCAGATTGCGGATCGGATAGTCCAAGGTTCGGAACGCGATATTCTGCTGTACACGCTACGCACATTTAGCTGTGTGGAAGTTATAATTATGATAACTTGGGCGGTGGGTACTGGCGTATCTCTAATCAGCACTAAATTTCGGATGACTATGCCCGAACTTTGAGTTCTTTGGTCTGCCCATTTAGCCTATGCATCCCATACATTGCTGTTTAATGTAAAAAGATCAAACACCTTAATGTTGATGATATTTAAGACAACTTTTCAAACAACAACAAAAGTTCTCTTGCAACAATATTACTAACAGTATCGCGTGTTTAAATAGCATCTGGAAATTACTACAAGTCGTTACAAGGCAATATATCGAGCGGAAACTGCCTATTAATTTAAAAAGTTAATTTCCTACAGAGATTGTATATGAAAAGAAAAGAACTTCCCAATAACTTATATTTCCAATAAAGAGCTTCTAGATTGCTTCCAGAGTCTAGCAAATTACAAAATTTGAAAGTACATAAATGACAATGAACGCAACAGAATTGCGCTTAAGGGGTCGTTTTTGAACGTAAAATATGAGAATAAAGTTGTTCTGTGTCGATAAATTCACTTGTTTAAAAGACCAGCATCCTCAGGGGTAACAATCTACTGTCTGATAATTGTCTTATTTTCCATAAGATATGAAGAAGCTTTGTACACGAGATTTGGACCTCATTTGCTCACAACTTGCTTACCATGGTAAGCGAAACTTTTATTGAAAATGCTGTGGTTAAGGAAGTAAACAGAGAAACAATGTGGAACGTTGTGGTTTGGGATAATTACAAGTTGAACCTGTATATTTAGGAAACACTTTGTCTATCAAACTATGAATTTGCCTGCCAGCATAGCAACCTATTAAAACTGTGAAATAAATTAACTAGTTTTCCTTGAATTTGAGTAACACCTGGTTAAAAACTAATCGTTTGATTTTAGTTTTTAACACTGAACCTGTTTAGCGACCTACGAAAAGCTATAAAGCGAAACGTCTGATTTTAGTTTTCCAGTGAACTTGTTTAATGACACAATGAGAAGTTGTACAACGAAACGTTTAATTTTAAATAACAATTGAATATTCGAAGAATCTTATGGATAGTTGTTGTGAAAAAATTTTGATATTACTATTTTTTTTTTTTTTTTGCTGTTGTGCAAAACTGGGGGCTCTAGAACGATATAAACTGTAAAGAGCTTTATTTGAGAAAAGTCATTCTAATATAACGTTTCGTAATAGGGTTAATAGCAGCTATTGTATCAACCCATAGAAAGTTGTAGCCCGAATTGTTGTTATCACCATAAGTCTTGTGGACATACTTAACAGCCAGGAAAGGTTGATTACAGGGAAAAGTTGCAGAACCAAAAGTTTGATTTTACATTCGTAACAAACTATAATAAACAAAACTTTTAGGTTAATGGGTATCCGAACATATAGAATA